TTCATATTATCAACAATGTCATCCTCAACAATGTCAATATACATATAGTGAAAATTTTGATTATATTTATACAATAACAATTATTTTGATACTTATTGGTGGATTAACAACTGTTTTATCACTTATAGTGCCTATTACAGTTAATTTAATAAGAAGAAAAAAGATGCCACTATCAACAACAGTAAATGGTAAGTTTTGTGTTATTAATCATTATCTCGATTTCTGAAATCAAGAAAATAAAATCGATAACTATTTTCCCTTTGTTCTTCCATGCAATTTGGATAGCCGCTACTTTTTGCGCTCTAATTTTCGCTTAGCGCAAGTGTTCTGACACAAGATACAAAGCATTAATAATCAAATCATTGTAGAGGAGGATGCGCTGAAAACCCATTTAACCGTGATCCGTTAACTGACAAAGAAAGACGAGAAATTCAACTATGGGATATTTAATTGCAACAGCTTTAATTACTGGAACTGCCTCGTGATGAGAATAAAAAGTATACTGAGAAGTTGGAGTCAATTAGTTCTACGTAACAAGCATTTTTTTGTTGCCAAGGTGTTTTAGTTTCCACTTACCATGAAGTTATAAAGATTTTGCTAGAACCAAACTATGGCGTCATTTTTTCCTATTTCCAGTTGTTCTCAACCAATATACTCTTTTTCACAATATCCATACCATACGTGGAATCTACACCAAAAGCTGACCCAAGAATATATTTGTCGAATATTTTTAAGAAAGGTAAAGTCCGCATAAGAATAACAACGGAAATCGGCCCACTAACAATAACCGCTCCAATCGGTCTAAACCTCATCAGAATCACATCCAGTTATCATATTCAATGATTTCGACCCTTCCGAGCGCTTTCAGTCGGATATACCCGATAGAATCTACTATAAACCAAGCGACGGTTTAGCACCAACAGTTTTTTTTTGCTCATCGATCATAATAGCTGGAATAAATTTGAAAAAGGATTTGAACAACTGAAAGAATTTCCGATCTGAGGGAGTGTATACCAAGGTTATATCAAAGCTCATGAAACCAAGGTCTGTAGAAAACCCAAATCTCAGAAAATCAAGTTCCCGAGTTCAATCTAGAAATTCTTTGTAAACAAGTCCATCGTGTAGAGCAACCATTTCTGAAGAGAATGAGACGTCTCTAAGCTCTTTGCGACATTGTCTCATGAAACAGCATTCAATTTACGGAAGGCCGTAAGGGCTTATCTGCTGATGTGCGAGCCTTCCGTAAATTGAATGCTGTTTCAGGACACATATTGTAGAGCTTTTCACGGCACATCGAATGATATATTGCACTAGGCTTAATATGGGATGGTTACTGAGAAATTTTGATTTGACAGTCATACTGTTGGCGCTAAACCGTCGCTTAGTTTCAAGCAGATTCTATCGCATATATTCGACTGAAAGCGCTCGGAAGGGTCGAAATCATTGAATATGATAACTGGATGTGATTCTGATGAGGTTTAGATCGATTGGAGCGGTTAATGTTAGTGGGCCGATTTTCATTGTTATTCTTATGCGGACCTCACCTTTTAATTTTTATGATTTTTGGGGGAGAATGATCCGATTTTTCATTAAATACAAAATATCTTCGAAATAAGTTGTCGAGTACATTTTTCGAGGCAGTTTCTGACGTAGGTTTCGAGTATGGTATGGATATTGTGAAAAAGTGTAGTTTGGTGGATTGGGTTTAGAACAAGTTAAAAATACGAAAAATCTCGTCATATTTGGTTCCAGCAATACCTTTATAACTGTGGAATCATTACAAGTGGGGGCTCTGGACCTGTGCAGATTGATATAAGACAATTTTTTCCATCGAACTATCTAGCTGAAATCTGGAAGCTGTCGTGTCTCCAATATGTGGCGAAGTTATGCACAAAAGGCGCACGATACACCAAGCGAAGCTGTTTACTGTAAAACAAAGCATAGATGAACAGAAGCGATTACCTCTCTGATTGACAATACTGACGCTAATATCTAAGTACGTCTAGAAGCTTCATCGACAATGGTTACGCATGGAACAAGGTTTTTCTAAGAACCCTATTTGTTCTTTAAAAAGGATTTAAAATGTAGAAAACCAAGTTCCTGAAAAATTAGGGTTTTCCACCTCTTTCTGCCTATTATCAAAAAAAATTCTCAATTCACTCAGAAAACATCAGAACGAGTCCAAACCTTCAGGATGTAGAGTATTTGGGCTGTTTTATATTCTTTTCATAAGAAATCAACAAGAAAAAATTAATAAAACCTATGGTTTTTCAATAGAGTTTCTAGAAAACCCCAGAATAAAACCATTATTTTGAAATTTTTTCGATTTTGTAGTCACGTCCAGCAGACACAAATAACTATATCCTGAAGGTGTGGACTCGTTCTGATGTTTTTTGAGTGAATTGAGAATCTTTTTGATAAAAGGCAAAAAGAGGTGGAAAACCCTGATTTTTGAGGAACTTGGTTTTCACTAGATTTTAAATCTTTTCTAAAGAACAAATGTTGCCACGAGATTCAGCAAAGTCGAAACCTATGTTTCCGTGCTTTTGTGAGGTACATGGACTGAAATGAAGAGCAGTCCTAGGGTTCTCAGGAAAACCTCATCCGCTGCGTAACTATTGTCGATGAAGCTCTCATTCGGATTCTGTTTTATAGCGGACACTTTCGTGGATCTATTCATGAGAGAGAGTGAATATATTTCTATGTGAAATTTCTCAGTTAGGAAATGGTTTTCCAGATCTTCTTGAAAACCAATTTTTAAAAAAATTTCCAAATATTTTTAGCAAATGAAAACACGCCCTTAAGTCTTGGCTATGGAATAACGACACTCGCGAGCCTATATCTACTTTCGCTCAACAGTTATTCAAAAGATAGCCACTGGTCTTATAATTTGAAATGGATAATAGACACGCACCGGTATGGACTGATGGCAATTCCGCAGTTTTTCAAAAAAATTTTCTAGAAGGTAAAATGACGTTCTTTAATTTTACGGCTGAGCCTTTTAATGCAAACATTTCTCTACAAAATTAGGTATAATAGCATTTTCGGTTTTAAGTTAATATCCATATCACAACTGTTTGCGAAACATACCGCGACCGGCACCAGTACCGATACCGATTAATACCGATTTATGGTTCCTGGCAGAGAAATAACTGTGCAGAAAGAAAACAGATGAAGAGTTTTGTCATGTCTCATTGTGTAGAAAGATGCTTGTTCTACGAAACTGAATCGTCAAAAAAGTTTGATAGTTTGTACTTTTCAGTCGAGATGATTGAAAGAAAGGAGAAAATATACCGATAAATACCGGGATATGCATAGTTTCAACCGTTACGAAGTTCGAAATTACTCTATATCTTTTAGTTGCGAGAGTTTTCCTTAATTATTCTCTTTACGATCAACGGAAGTTATACCCTATGTAATGAATCGTACGCAGTTTCTTTAGTAATTACGATCAAAAGCCTTCATACTATGATATTCGAGGGGAACAAAATGTTCATTAACCACTCAGAATCTGGTAGTCAAGAAAATAGTACATCTTACTTGTTTTGTAGTCTTACCGATACGTCAACGTTTAATAAATTTCTATGAATTAGTAGAAGAAAAAATAAGAAAATTTAATCTATTTGAACCTTATCCACCACATCTTAATGAAGAGCTTCGATATTATGAATTATTATCAACACGTTTTTATATACTAATATTAATTTTATCACTAATTATTCTTGTTTTATATATATCAGTTATTGATCATACACAAACAGTTATAATTAAATCACCAACATCAGAACAATATACATTATTATATGAGCAACATTCATCAACATTATTATGTGGATGTAAAAAAATATCTATTTTATATTCAAAATTTTTACAATTATTACCGGAACGTCATGAAATATGTACAAGTCAATATGTTATCGACGAATGGATACAATATATTCTTTTACGTACATTTTCAGATGATTTAAACCGTCATAAGGATGAGTTTCGCGAAACAGCAATTAAATTATTCCAAATGTTAACAGCATTATGTGAATCTACAAATAGAACAATACAAAATAGTTTATCAATCTATTATTCAACCGAATATATTAACGATAAATTAATTAATCAACAATTATTTGAAGCAACTATTAATTCATCTATTCAATTATTTATATCATCAACCACAAATACATATACACATTCGTTAAAATTAATACGTGATACAACACAATCAAATGGATTAGTAACAACTAATTTAAATTTATATTATTTTTATCAACAGCAAACTATTGTCCATCGATACTGGTTTAATTATTCTTATTATAATACAAATCAAACATGTTCATGTACAAATACAAATCAATGTGTTAAACAAATAGAATTATATAGTTATTTAGATCCAGTTAATATTAATATGGTGGTAAATGGTTTGTATATGGGTTGCTATATACTTGAATCATTGTTACAATCAACATTAGAATGTTTTTATTCTCAACAATGCTTTAATCAATTGAATATAATATTAGAGCCAGATTATTATTCAGATACTCCAATTTCATTACTAAATTCATCAATACTGATTAATTTTCGGCCACAATCAACCATAGACGAACTTTTGACACAATTAATGGTCGACCAATGGACTTCATTAGTGTCATATGAAACTTATTTTAATGAATGCCAACCAAATCAATGTCAATATACATATACTGAAAAATTCGATATTTTTTATACAATAACAACGATATTAGGTATCGTTGGAGGTTTGAAAACTGTTTTATCACGTTTGATACCAAATTTTATAATAAAACCAAGTCTTTATCTACTACAATTGATTATAAACCGTTATAGAAAAATGAAACTACGACAAACAAATCAAGTTCAATCCCTTGAAAATAATGCAGATAATGTAAGTTAAAACAAAATGAAACATACTTTTCTGTAGATGGAACAGTTTATACGAAACTTTTTCTTTTTCCTGTGGATTTTTCTTGACAATGAACCAGTAACTTCATTAAGAAAGTGAGATAAAAAAATTTTTATATTGAGACTTTAAACGGTCATTTTTTTGTTGCTTATTGGTGAAAAAATAGGAGAAGCTGGTGGAAAATGTTAATCGTTATTACTACTCTTAGTTCAATTACTGTTATTCTAATAGTACTTATATTGAAACAAAGTAATCGAAAAGCTATTGAATTGTCGTACAAAGCGTAATTAATCATAATTTTCTTTCAGCCACTTCTACAGTACTAACACAATCAACAGTGACTTCTACTCGTAGAATACAAGCAACAATGAAAACAACAGATGACATTTTAACAACAACAATAACGCGTATCTTGCATTAAAATCTTTAGGACTTCTTGTTCAAGGCAGTTGTTTTATTTATGTCTGTAGCCATTTTGTTCTTAAAGAGATGAGTGAGCTTAAAAAGTGGTGATATGGCTTATTTGCTAGAGAAAAATCTCCGATTTCCTGTTATTGTTTCGATTGTGATAGAGCTCAGACAAAAAGAATTAATGAATCAGGAAGTCAGATCAATTTCGGCCAATTCGAGCCAGAACTTGATCATTTGGTATCATTTGTGTTTACTGCGACTTCAATTTTACTGCGCTTTCTAAAAGCACAATAGGTTGTAGCAATCTGTGGGACCCATGACACTATGAGAACGTTTCATAATTCTATCACATCATCAGGTCTCATAGGTCTCATGCTATAAGACCGACATATAATTTCGGAGCGGTTTGAAGATTAAATGAGCTTTTTAAACCATCTATAAATTCTAATAATGAAACTTGTAGAACTTGAAGCCTTTTACTTCTGTTATGGAATCTTGGACTTGGAAAAGATGAATTAATCACCGACCTCTTGGAAAGATGAACTTTTGTCTTTAGGAGTATAAAAAATTGATACGGTTTTGCAACCTCTTTTCAGCAGTAAAGTCAATTGTCCTAAAAAAATGTCACCATTTTGCCAACAAGCCTGTTCTTACTGTGATATTTTGTGTTTTATGGCTCTCTGGATATAGGATAGGATGGTCTGCTGTTGGTTCCTTGTGGAAGATTGTCAACCACCGCTCGTCAGAATAAATGATATAATATAAAACAATAAGACGCTGTTTTCGAGAAGAAACAGAATCAGCAGCTATAGGATTCGGCAAGTACCAAGACTGAGTGCAACAATCGGCGAAGGTCAAAATGTTGAAATTTTAGTTAATAAAGTTGAAGGAGAACAAAAGTGAATATTTCCATCGTTAATCTCCATGAAAAGGAATTTTATTCTAATATTTTATGAAAACGTTGAACAAAATAAACCTTTTGACTGTGTGCTAAGCAAGAATTTAATTCTCTATTGTATACTTTTATTTTAAGTTCCCTTAACAACAACCAAATCAACTAGTAATTGTACTTCTTCCTCCTCTTATCAGCGTAATTGGAATCGAACTGGTCAGAAAGTTGCTGGTTCATCTATTGGTACAACGGGTTCATCATTAAAATATCTTTCTGTTCCGGGTGAGATGACTATCGTTAATAAATTTGATTTATATATTAGTGACAGTGGAAATAATAGGATTGTTAAATGGAAGTTAAATAATTCATCATTAAATGAAGGTGAATTAGTAATTGGTAGAATTGATTGTTTAGCTGGAAATTCATCAACTGAATTAAATTATCCATATGGTATGACTTTTGATGAAATAAATCAACAATTATATGTAGCTGATTCATTCAATTATCGTGTACTACGATATAATTTAAATCAAACATCATTCCCTCTTAGTGGTACAACAATTATCGATCGATCGCAGCATATATTGAGCCCTGATGTTGCCAATTTTTATTATATATATTATGATCATATTAATAATGATTTATATTTATTAGAAACACAGAATGGTAGTGTATTATTATACAAAAATATAACAAGTGATAGTCATACACAATCACAACCACTATCAATAGCTATCGTAGGACAACAACAAAGTAAGTCCTGTATTTCAACAAACTAGCGGAAACAATGAAGAATGGGCCACTTTTTAAAATAAATATGACTTATGTAAAATAATGATAAACGTAACTTACAACTTATTAGAGCCGAATCTAAAAAATTTTATGCTTCGTTTAATCATGCAAGAATATAGTTTCTTGAGCTTCTAGTTTTAGAACTATGGATTTTGAGAAAAAACTGGATATTCCAAAAAATCTCATGCTTGACCTCAGCCCTGTGGAGAACTAATGGTCAAATTTCTCCATGGAATACTGACACAGCCTTTCATAGTATCATCAAACGCCTCATTCACAAAGTTCTCAAATTAAGCTTTGTTAGATATGAAAATGCGTGCTTCTGTAGATGATAGCTCAGAAACCATCAATTTTTGACTGAAGGATTGACTCAAGAGGTATAACGTTCATCCGAATCTAAGTGAGTGATTCTGGTAATTTTTGTACAGTTCGACCTAAGCTAATGGACCTGCATGGTTCTCCTAAATCAAACTTTTGGAAGCTTATGCCATTTTATTCCGGACACTTTACTCCACATATACTGCTAAAATCTCTTTTCTGTCTTATTTCCTTAGTATACAGTAAGCAAAACACTATGTTTCTTGGTTCTTTTTTCTTGGTGGTTCTTGCACGTTCTTTTTGTCTTGATGAACATTTTTCTTCATTTAGGGGAGCGGAACAAAAGCCTTTTTGCTTTTTGTGCAGTACTTTATCCGCTCTGTCAATTTACACTCTTAGTTTCGCCTAATCCTTTTTACTTTCTGTGAAAACTTCGATGGAATTTGGGGTCCTCGAAAAGTTTCAAAATCGTGTCCCACCTACCACTGAGTCAGTAGTCTTGGTGACTACTTTTGGCGCAGCAGTACTGACTATTGTCGAAACACTTGTCCTGTTCTCTTTTTCGCAACTTGGGAGGCGGTCGTGAGCTTCAGAATTTTTCGCGGAAAAGGGAACGCTTCCTGAAGGAGAGTACCTTGGACGAAAGCGACTTACAAGTACACGTCCTTCCTGAAAGAACAGAGCGCAAGTAAAGAATTCGATGTCAAATCTTTTGCATCCCTTTTGTAAAAAAGGACGGGTGCCAGCATAAATGGTAATCGGCTCACTTGAGATTTTTAAAATAATTGTTTTTGTGATGGGTAATAATTTGAGTAGTAGAATAACTGGGATACAAGTAGCTTTGACCATTTTACATTTATTGAAACAGTAAATATCGACGTTTCGTTGTTTCAAGCAGCCTTTTCAAGACAATAGTGTAGAGATGAATTTGACAAGATTCTTTTATATCATGAAAATAAACCCAGCATAGTTGTCACATAACATATTTGATGGTAAGGCTGCTATGTTAATGATCGTCGGTGACTAATACACAATAGAGTGTATTCTATCGAGGGAACTTCGCCAATGGTACGTCGCCATTTTCAATGATCTTGTAAGGATCGATGGAGGAAAGTGTCCTACTAAAAAGCATAAAAGGACTTTGGCTCATGTCGCTTCTTTCAAAACTTGTGAAGTTTTTTGTTTTATGTATAAGATCCCACTGGAATAGTAAATTCCTTGAGTTTTCCCAAGTTGTATTTTTTTTCACTACCTTTCTTCGCTCTTTAACACAATTGTCTACGCGTGCATCTATCTTTATTTATTTTCCCACATGCGATTAGGCTCTAGCAACAAATGTGAAATGAAAAAGGTTGATTCTCAATCTTTTTCATTTCGACCGATTTTGAGTCATCGCTGTGTATATAGGAACGTCTTCTTTCTATTACAAAAGAAGAAGAAACTTGCTTGAAATAAGTGACAATCGCAGCAGTTATATAGCCATTCCCTTTACATAGAAGAAACGAAAAGAATACAGAAAAACTCGTGTGCATATAAACAGATCGATGACTCAAAAACTGCCGAAATGAAATCGATTGATTGGCATTCTTTTTCATTTCACATTTGTTGCTAGAAGTCTATTGTTCTAAATTTTGAAAAGGAAATGCGTTATTTTTTATTAAAGCATGCTTTTCTTCTTGTTGTGGTGGAAAATAAATAAAGATAGATGCACGTGTAGATAATTGTGCTAAAGAGCGAAAGAAGGTACTGAAAAAAAGACAACTTGGAAAACCTCAAGGAAAATGTTAGTTACACTATCACTAAACGGCTTAGGGATTTGAACATTCTTGTGATAAGAGTAGACTATTAGCACAATGATAGAAAAAATTTTCAACTCTTAACTCTTTGTTTTTACCGCGCTAGAAATTTTTTTTTTTTACTATATCCGTGGGACCTTATACATAAAACAAAAAACTTCACAAGTTTTGAAAGCAGCGACATGAGCCGAAATCCTTTTAGGCTTTTTATTAGGTCATTTTCCTCCATAGATCGTTATAAGGCCATGGAGATATACGATTGGCCAGGCCTTCTCAAAATAGTCTACCGGCCATATGTACTTACCATTCCTCAATAAATCTGTCCTCATTTCAAAATGGAATGGAATCTACTTAGGCCTTTATGTATAAAGATAGTCAAAAAAATCAAACAGACCAACAACATTACTTATTGGTCAAATGAATAGCAATTATATTGGTCCATATTTTAATATTGCCGTACTGACCATTTGAATTTCCGCTCTCTGCCATCATTGTGGTTGAATTCATAGCAACATACACTAAATTTAGACACTAGCTCAGCGGGTTGCATGATGCATAAAGGTCTAAGTTGAGAAGCCGTGTATTCGAAGACCTCGTATTTTAATTATTTATTAAGGTCTAAACAGCGAAACGATTCCAACTAATGGGATCTTTTAAATTTAGAATTTTTCTCTCCTTGTACGGCAAATTTATATCTCAAGTTCTAAGCTTTTTTCAGATCAATGGCTGGCAGACTATAAGTACGATACAATGTAACTGATCCCCGATCAACTGTTAAGGGGTTTGATTTTGACAATCAGTTTCGTTGAAACAAGTCCTTCAGAATATATGACTAGCGGCACGAATGTGATAGTTTCCTGCATCAGAGGTTTTTAATCATGTAGACCATGTGGGACTGCAGATCTTCTTCCCCATAAAATCTGTTTTGGAACTTCAATGAAAAAATTTACTGTTGTTAAAATGAGACAACTCGACTTTTCTATAAGGATAGGCGCGAGGACTGGAACCGATTGGGAAACGGTAAACCGTTCCGTTCCGACCGGTCAAAAAATGCAACCGGACCTGTCCGGTCGGAAAACCGGCCGATTGGAAATCACTGTCAGACCGGTGAAAACTGACGAAATTTTTTGAAAATCGACTTTTAGAAAATGTCCCCGAGAAATAAAATAGTTTGCAAGCGCATGTAAAGGACACTTAACATAACGGGTGTATTAAAACGAACTTTAACATAAGTAGCGGAATTAATATCTGTCTTGAGCATCTTCTTGTTTATTCTCGCTAAGAAAGACATGAAATCTTAGTTTTTATAGCCATAAATAGGGTCAAAAGAGGAGCTTTTCAAAAGTTTCTACTGGTTCCGGTTTCCAGGATCGGTTCCAGCCCATTGTGCACCTGTACAACTCAAAATAGTAAATAACTTTGAAACAAAGAATTTTCACTAAACAAATTTTGTTTATGGGTCAATAGTACACACGAAGCCGAACAACAATATATGGGTTGTTTGACACTATCTGTTGGTCGTGTGGAGAAAAACCACTATCGAAATTTTGACTATGAAAAATCCATCGTCCGCTGTTGCATAACATGTATAACCTCCTTTTTTTGATTCGGACGCTATGTCGTGCTATGCGGCATATTGAGTCGATATTTCAAAAAAGTTTAATTTAGTGAATTAATTCGCTTCGAAACTGAAAACAAATATCACCATTCGAATCAGCATGGTTGATTACCTATATTTCTAGGTCTTTTGGAGCAATTGCTGACCAATCAGCTTTTGACATTTTTACATAAAAAATATTATTCTCTTTCGAATGTTAAAAATCGAAGGTCTCTAGCTGCTTCCTACCTGGAGTTTTTTAACTTACAACCGTGTACATTGTTCATTGAAATGGACAGTAGGATAGTTTTACATTTTTTAGCTCGTCGTTAGCACTACTAATTATTCTTTTATATTTCATATAAAAGGGGATGGTGGATTTTATATTGACAAACAATCATCAATTTATATTGGTGATAATTCAGATAATTCTATTGTTAAATGGTTAAAAGAATCTAAACAAGGTATTATAGTTGCTGGTGGTCATGATACTGGTAGTAATTTAAATCAATTCGATTATCCAATAGATGTTATTGTTGATGAACAAGATAGTAATACATTATATATTGTTGATTCTTTTAATTCTCGTGTTATGTAATGGTTCGAAAATGCAACTGAAGGACGAACAATTATTGGTACTACAGCTGCCGATATAGGGTTCCGGTTAAACCAATTAATGTTTCCAACCGCAATTAAATTTGATAGTAATTATGATTTATATGTGCTTGATCTTATTGGTCGAATATTAAAATATAATTTAATTAATAATCAATGTAATGGCGATGAATAGTAATTAACAGTAATTCGTTTACTTTTTTTATCTAAATGCCGTACGCTATATGTTCTATGTCTGTATCTATACTTTAAAAATATTTTAACCGTCGAAAAAATCGGTTATCATATAATTTATGCAAGTCCTAATGTATATTATCAGAAATGTCTGGTGTGTGGTGGTAGCAATCAGCCTTTGACATTTCTGTGTTAGAAATATTATTCTCTTTCGAATGTTGAAAACCACAGGTCTCTAGACGCTTCCTATCCGGAGTTATTCAACTTACAACCGAGAACATTGTTATTTGACATTGGTGAGACTGTGAAGCGAAAATTGCCTGGTGATAAGATAATGTGAACAAGCAGTGTACAATTCCCATGTTAAAGATACCTTGCCTCATTGTTCACTCTATTTTCTGTGCTCGATCTTGTGGCTCATTCTTTCATTCATTAAACTTATATTAGCTTTCAGATTCTGAACATTTTATTTAACTGATATCACTTACCAGAAGACGGGGAAATGCTGCTTTGTGCACTAAAATATGAAAGTACTGTTAGCAGTTTAATTCTTAATAAATGAACCCTTCAGAACTCACTCGATCGGCGATATGGAATGAACTAGCAGATACATGAAAATAAAATACATTATTTACTTTTGTAATTCAACAAATTAATCACATCTAAATGAGAGATACCCAGCAGAATATAGAAGCAACATTTGAATTAAAAGAACTTTCAATAATAACTCACAGTTTATATGAAACTTCCAAAAAAAGAAACACTTTAAACTTCATGTATAGTTATTTCTTTTTTAAAATAATATCCCTATATCTCGATAGAACAGTTAGATATGTCATGGCCCAACTACACTGTAAAGTTTATTTATCACCACTCATAATAGTACAATTCACCTACCTATGCTGTCGGTATGAAAGTAAAGGTAGTAACAGGGAGAAGAAAACTAGGAAAACAAACTGCATCATTGCGTTAATTACCGTGTAATCAACAGGATCATTGAAAGCGAACAACATTTTGACAAATTCCATACCCCCACTGCTCAAACGGTAATTCTGATTAGCGCACATAACCCATTCGGAACCGTACTATCCATTCAACAAGTCACTATTTAAGGTCGAAAATTAAACGTAACGATCGTTTTAGGTTGAAATATATATGTCAGAGAGAGATTTTGTTACTAAATTTCTCAGTTCTCGCCGGACATAGTTGAGTACAGAATTTTTTTCCCTTTATATTTAAGCACTATAAACACACCTCACTATCTTTCGACTCTATATTAAAAAAGACAATAATCTCTCCAAATTCACGCCATAACCATTGCACAAAACAAATTTCCATTTTATCGTTTTACTTTGGAAACATAGTTAAAATAAAAAACCAGAGGCTGTCTTATCCAGGGATAGAAGAAAATAAATGAGAATTCGAATCCATTAGGACAGATCGAATAAAAAACAAAGGTTGTTTGCTCTAATAACGGGACAATCGGACAAAATAAATGAGATCTGTCACATGGAATTCATGTTGAAGTCAAAGGTCTATCCAGTATGGATCACTCTACCTGCAAAAAAATTATATAAACAATTTTTCATCCCTATCTAGTCTTTAGTGTGAAGAGATCAAGCCGACCTTTTTACTTCATTAGGACTGCTGAAATCTCAGCTTTAAAAGCAGAAATTAGTTTCTTTTTATTTTGCTTCGTCACTGAGAAAATCCATTTTTTCTAGAACAGGAGCGAAAAGATCGAAATTCTGTCCGTGATTTGCAACTTTCTTTTTGAGAACTTAACTTCTATGCAATAAAAATTATTTGCAGCATACTTTAAAGCTCAATAAATGTTGAAAAGCCAACAGAAAATACTTCGAATTCTAGAAAGATTCTAGAAACCTTTGGAACTCAAAGAATATTTTTATTCATTTTACATACAGAATTAGAATGAGCGGATAAAATAGAGTATTTCCTGACATTCTCAAATAGGCTGGATAGATTTTGACTAAATTATGAATTATTTAATTTTTGATGAAAATAATTAAAAAGGGGTTATTTCACCAAACATAAGTTTTCACTCGGTTCTTACATTTTGTTCTGAAAACCAGCATTGCCACGAGATTCAGCATAGCCGATAACCTACGTTTTCATTCATTTCTGACAGTCCCATACCTAACGCCATAGGATTTCTAAGACTTCAGGAAAAACGCTCATAGCTTCCGAACGATGGGTTTTCAAGATGTTGCTTAGACTCGATTTTGTAGAGGACACTTCGGACTATATATACCCCCAGAACAATCAATAGATTCCTATTTGAATTTCGGAAAATCCAAGCTAGTTTTCCAAAGATCCTCTAGAAATCCGGCTTCGAAAAATTTTCCAAAAATCGGTTTTGCTTGTAGAAAGATTGCCTCAAGTTGTGGCTATTGAATGGTAAAAATCGCAAGTCTCTATTTTTATTTGGTGCTGAGTTATTCAAAAAATAACCGCTGCTCTTGTATTGTGACTCCGATTGTAGTAATAACTTCATATCGAATAGCATTTACTATTAGTTAGGACTAATACTTTTCCATTTCATGCTAGGAAAACTCATTTATTTTGTCCAATTGTCCCGACATTAGAAGAAACAGTCTCTATTTCATATTCGATCCAGACGTGTGAATTGGAATTTTTCATTTATTTGGTTCTATCTCTGGATTAAAAAAACTTTGCTATTTCTTTGAATTTTCGGTAAAACTACAAAACCTATCGTTTCTAAACTAGCCTAGTCCATATTAGAATTCAAATCTGTTCTGGATTTTAATCTTGACTACGATATATACGTACTATTTGGTTCTATGCATACTTGAATCGGCGATAAATATTCACATTAATTCAATTAATGTTTCGTAAGACTTGCTACTTTTAGTTTTTTCCTCGTACAAAAGAATTTAAAAAAATGAAAAACAGCTACATTAGCGGACATCTTAACCCTTTCAGGACCGGGTTAATTTTTATATAAAAAGTGCTGTTCAAAAGTTGAAGACCTTTTTTATTTTGCAATATCTCGGCTTCCCTGACAGATAGAGACTTCATCCTTTTGTCAAAAGAA